TTCTTTTAATCATACACAGCCTGTTTTTGTGCAAACTCTTGCTTGCGCATGGTTCGATCTGTTTAATTTCTGAAACGACAGTTTAGATCATTAAAATGATTGGACACAAACTGGACATAAATCTTATTTCACTGGTATACCTCACCAAAATCCGCATACGCTACATTGAATGTAAACCTTCCTTGCTTTGCACCTGTTGTTAACCGCGGGCTTAATTTTAAGATGAGAGGCTGCATTAAAGAGGCACCGAAGTTCAATGTAGCCGGTAAACTAGGACAGTCTGTTGCCTAAAAGCAAATCCCAAATCGTTCCTGGACGAATTCTTTATAGTATGTTTAATGTCCTAAATTTCCAGCTGGCTTGTAAACTTCGCAGCTGGAAGCTGTAACCGCGGAAATCCATTGACTTAACTCTTTCATAAACGTGTTTAAGGGGGTAGAGTTTTCAACCACAAACCAGGGACCACAATACTACCACCAAACGTGATCACATAAGCGACTAAGACCTAAGGCCCGAGGTCTCCCATGTAATATATTTTGCATTCAGTTGGCTAACGTGGATTACAATACTGGCGATTTTCTGTACGTCTCCGCGGAGCCCTGGTGTTGATAATTTTTCCCTGTATAAAATATTGATCACCTTTGAGACAGTACTGCTGTTTGAATGCAGTAAGCAGTATTGACAGATCAAATGAACTTAACTGGAATAACGTGAGGCGGTGACGCTCAAACCCGGTTAGTCTTCCAAAGCATTAATCAGCGATAAGTAAACTTGCAGTAAATAAGACCAAAATCTGACAAGTAACAAATGACTCGCCTACATAATTGTCAGTAAAAAGCACTGCCATTTTGGAACCTAATATAGTGCAGATGAATGTGTTGCTGTAGGTGAAAAAAGACATTTAAAAGGTGACACTGTGGGTTTTCAGAGGTGAAAGCGGCATCTGTGCTGCAGTTGAGGAATATTTTCCATGTTTGCTTAGCAATATGCACCATTGCAGGTTTTCAATTCTGACTGCCAGACTTTAAATTGAAATACCGAAGTCAATACCGATCAAGGTCATCGCAAGCTAACAGAACATGTTTTTTCTCTCTCGACTTTTACCTTGAAATCTAAAACCCCTTCCTACTGCACGGATGGATTCCATCATCGCGTTTTTAAATTAATATTATTATTGTGTTCAGTCGTAAGTGGTCTGCTTAGTAACATAAGAGCATTTCAGATTTCATCCATCTTGCGCCTGATTATCCAGTACAGGGTCGCAATGACCGTGGAAGCACAGGACCCAGGAATCCCCCTAGAGAACGAGGCCACAAGTCACGGATGTCACTCATGACAAGTCCAAGCTGATTCCTCTCTGGAAATTTTCGGTAACACTTTACTTCAAAGGGGTAGAAACACTTAGTATTAACTCCGTTTCTACTGAAGTACAAATCATGAACAAATATAGTCCCTATTTAAGGTGAAACAATAAATGAGAGTTCCTTAGTTGTTCATAAAGGTTTACAGAATTAACAGATATAGTAACAAATATTGTAACTGCTTGGGATGAAAGATGCGTTACAATTCATTAATGATTAACAAACATGACATCAGTTTGTAAGTAACACTTAGTTTGTGGTTAATTCGTACATAGGTAATAGCATAATATTACATAATATTACATTGTTACCCATTTTCCTTGAGGCGGCACAAATATAGTAGTACACACTTAATGTATGAATTATCCAGAAACTGTGCGTTAGCTTACGTACTGATCCATGTTAGTTATGCACTGATCCATATGTTACGCACTGATCCATATTAGTTACGCACTGATCCCATGCTTGTTCATCATTAATCAATCAATGGTTCATGTATTTCATGCAGATACTATATTTGTTCATGATTTACGCTTAAGTAGTAACTGAGATACTAAGTTATTTGTGTCCCCTAAAATAGTGTTACCACATTTTGCTTATATTAGTTTAATAACAATCAGTCCAGTCTCATAAGTAACTTTGCACCTTCTCTTTGCCGTTGTGTTCACTGACGGCTTCATTGACAATTTCATTAGCAGTAGGATGAAAGCCACAGACATAGGTCCATCTTCCAGTGTTTCGCGTGCCTGATTCTAGAGATCACATGGCCAAATAGCCTACCATTTGTTGTCATTTTTAAATATGTTTTTCAGCTGTGTAGGCTATTCAAAATATTCAAACGACCTTCTGAAACAAACAAAGAAATAAATAAACAGGGTGTAATTGAGCGACAATATAATCTTGTCCGCTTCGAGGCGTAAGTCGAGATAAATCCAGATCTAATTAAATTTTGGTTTCTTGACTGCGTGCCAAGAGCAGGGCGCTTTTAGCTGGCGTTGTCTTGTTTGCTAAAACAGGGACCGCCTCTTAGATACCTTGCCTAAACGTTAAATGCGTCGTTTTGCGACGAAATGGCAAAAGCCGTACATTATCTCACAATCCTTAGACAGCTTGTAGAAGAAACGTCATGTGAGGTGGATCCAGTTAGGGGACAAATCGCCTAGTTACAAATATGCAGGAACAAACGAGGCGTGCATCTCTTAAATGTGTCACCACGTTGCGCAATCATACTCCAGATCGTCAGGTCACGTTTTTAACTTCTCAGTTTGTCTGGGACATTGAGGACGAGTAGTGTCTCTTTAAACTGTTTCTCAACCAGGTACATCTCGAACAATCATTCCTTGCCGCACCTTTACGCGAATTTCAGACTTTCAGTCTGAGAATCCCAGTCTTGAAAGTGATTTTTTTTTCCATGGAACTGGCATCAGTGCGATACTAGTGCTACTATTTGAAATGTTGGTAAGTTGTTATTAGAACAGACGAGGCCCTTGGATTCAGCACCTCCAGTGGTGATGGATATCTCGTTATCACAAGATATTTAGGAATATGACGCAGGCAACTAAACAAAGTGACGGGTTGGGGAGGCACGTAGCTGGGATCAGGAGCGCTCGTTACACTCATGGGCGTCTGAATGAGTAGCATGGTCTGCGGGCGCTCATATTCATAATGCATTGGTAATTCAGGACGCAGACCAAGATCCATCATGCCATCTCCGAGTGAGAATATTATATTGAAATCAAAGAGCTTGCATGCGCCACGCGCCCGTTGCTTTTGTTTGCTGTGCTGCACCACTGCCAGAAGTGAGGAGGAGTCCACGGCGACGGAGCCGAGGACAGAAGTTGCTCCGGAGCTTGTCTCTGTACCTGGCACCCATCAGATTCGTACGTTCGCGCCGAAGACGCACTAGTCGAGTAGTCAAAAGTTACCGTTAAGTTTTACCGTGAAAAAAAAGTTGGAGAAAAAGGTAAGGTAGCAAATTATATTTTTCAGTGATATGCATTCTTTGTCTGGAAAAAAATGCAAATGCAGAGCAACGAAAAGCGGAAATGAAGCTATCATTAAATGTTGTTTCTTTTTTCTTTTTTTCTTGGTGTGTGTGTGTGCGTGTTTTAGTAAAGATCTAGTATCGCAATATCTAGGTTAGGGTGGGTAGGGGGGGTTTTATGATAGGAATAATGTATGTTAATTTGTTGCACGTTATAGATTGTGCTTCAGGGGTCTGCAGCATTCGGTTGGTGATGTAACTTTAGCAATGGTGCCTCTATATTAAACCTAGGATTAATGACGATGATGATGATCAACATCATCATTATCGTGGTCGTTAATGCTCATCATCAGTATGACGACAGAGACTGAAGGATGCTTTTGCAGAACAATCGAACTATTCTCGATGGACTGCGCAGTCATTCTTGTCATCTTTTTCTGGGATATTTGGTTTATTAAAAATGTAGGCATAAGGTGACGCAGCAGCGGGCTTGCGTGCATCTTATAACTTCTCGGAGTATAGGTTGACCGCAGAGCAACTGAATCATGGAGAACTTTCTCACTGTTTGACTGGAACTGCAATCGTTTTATTAGTTTGCAAAACTTCTACTGACATTCAGTTTAACTAAACGAAATCCATTCGACTGACACTGTGCCTCTCCACGTTTAATATACACACACCAGCGGAATATTTTCTTACTGCAATTTACGATTAATATTCACGTTTTGACATTATTTATTGTAATATTGAATGCTAACTACACACACACACACACACATATACACACACACACACACACACATATATATATTAGTATACATGGAAAGCGGAAAGTTTGTTTTTATTTCTGATTTTCGCATCTGTTTTGGGGAACGTACAAACCACAGACATTTCATCTCAGCTAGTCTACTATAACATAACATAGTTATTAACATAGTAAATGTGTGGTTGAACAAGGCTAACCCAAGAGCCATAGTTAAGTGATTTACAGGGTTTAGCATTAGTATTATTATTTTTCATCAACTAAAAATTTTATGACCTGTCACGTCTGTGGTATCATTGCTTACTCGAATTGTGGGGTATTAAATAATATCCTTAGAAAAAGCAGACATACATCGCGAGTTTAATAACATCTAAAAGCAGCGTACGGCTGATATAACTAATTTATCACCGTTTAAATGACATTTGGCAGTTCTTGGGTGCGTGTATGCTACTTACACTTATTCACAATGTGGAGAAGTAGGTGTAAATTATAACAGATTATTTTGAACCCTACTACGTGTCGTAGAAGATGGGATTTTTTGCCGGTAACACTTTAATTATAACGACTTCGATATAATTATGACACAAAGCAAACATGAAATTTGCCTACAATAGTTCCGTCCATAGAGGTGTTAACGAATCTTTGGATCTTAATAGCCGTACATTATGTTAACGTCTTTAACTTGTGCCGGCATTAAACGGCGCGTCGGTGTGCTGTTTGATGATTAAATAGCAAAGCTGTTCAGAACACAGAGGTATGTATTTAAAACAATGCACCAGATTACTGGAGAGATTGATAGAATGCGGCCGGTTACCGGTAATTTGTAACTCACGTGTAGGTGCTCTTTAGGACCCAGCGGAGAGCGCAAGTGTTGGGGTAGGAGACAGCTCACAGTGCCGATATTAGGTCGCATTTGGAGAAGATTGCTTATCTCCTACATCCCACCAAGAGTGTTAGGTGGGGCTAACGGAATTTCCAATTTTTCTCACTATTGTTGCATTTACGTTGCAAGTTTGGGTTCCGGGGGAAAAATAGCTACACGTAAAACGTGGCAGAATTGAAGATGATGCGCTGATCAACTAAAATAAAGAAGACCATTTGTACAATGTCTGCCTAAGAAATGGGCTTTCCAGATGCATGATCTGTCAGATAATTTTCACCGGGCACGGAGTGAAGGAGCGTCTGCTTATCGCGGGTCCCGAGCACCGTAGAGGACGCTTTCGGATCCAGGGTTCGCTTTCAATGTCTGACAAGAGTTTATAGAGACCCTCAGAAATATTATTTTCGCTGACTTGGGCCGAATACTTGGACACGGAGTGTGACTTTTACACTGTTGCCTGAAAAAATATATAAATAAATCGACAGAGAGAAACGGGACGTAAAAGTTGTCAGGAATCTGCGTTGTATTGACAGTAGAGCGTTTGGAGAGGTGTGAGGTTTCAGTCGCATTTTGAGTCAGGAGTTCTGCCATTTTCTATACTTTCCGTTGGCTTTCTTGCTGACCCAGCTGTCAACCCGGTGATCACTCATTTTTTTGTCCGTTTTGCATACTGAAAAAGACGCCAATTCGTTTGGGACTGATGTGCATCGAAAAGCTTGTAAATCTGTCCATTTAGTCAGCTCATTAAAACTCCCGCATCATCAACTTTTTTTCTGCAACTCTGCCCCCGGTCTCATCAAATTTAGATTACCAGTCGCATCTTAAACCCAATCCAGAAGCCATCCCCGAACTTGTTGAACACTCATTAAGACTGGGTCACCGTAACGGCAAATTTCTCAAGGAGTCTTAAATTGTAAGTATTTCTTCCTCTGAAAATATCTGTGTCCGATCCGCCGTTCAGACATTACTTCACACCCGAAATCAATTAGGCATCGTTTTAAGGCATACATTATAATAGATTCTCTGTATGTTATTTTGTGGAGCTTACAATTAATAATTGTTTTGCTGGTGGGCCGAATGTAATATTTTCACGCTCTGAAATTCTGCTGGTGTTTTTTGTGTTGCTGGAGTCGCGGTGAGTTTAAAGCGACCGCAAGTAGGTTCCAGCGGTCCTGACATTACTACTTGCACGTTTCTTTAGAAGCCTAGACTATTATATTTTTCCAGCTAATTCATATCGTATTAGGAGACAGTAACCTTGTTAATGTGTAATAGGTTGGACAAATCAGTATTCATTGCAGAATTACCTATCGCCCTCTGGTGGGTCATCACGGTTTATTAAGAACCTAATCTCGGTTTTGATCGCGCAGTCAGGCATGTGTGCAGTATTTTCTGAAAGGCGATTAGTAATGGAGTCCGAGCGGCACGTAGGTCCGGCGTATCCAAAAATCGTATAATTCCCAGCCTTAGCGCAGTTTAGGGGCTCCCATTGTGGTGAGCTCAATATTCAAGAGAAATTTCACTAAGTAACTTAATGAACCAGCAAGTATATACGAAAGATATTCCCCGTCTGAATAACGAAGCGCCTTGTTTTTTAATTGCTTATTTGATTCCTCTACAATCCTTTTCACTCCATGCAACACGTGATCTCTGTGTTGTATCAACACTCGTTAAATTTAAAAGTACTTAAACTACCAAAACACTAAGTTTTATCTAGGTTTGTGTGGGATCTGGCTTCACTTTTGTGTTGTATTTCGCTTTTGTGTTTTCCAGCTTTTTATGTTAAATTCACACACACGCATACACTCACAGGGCCTGTATATATTTGAAAGACTGAGAAATTATATTGTTACGCTATTGTAAAGTTTAAAGTTAGCTATTATATCAGTTGTTGGATATTTAATTCTTAATTTTTACTGAATGTGTTTTTTTAAATATATTTTTAAAATAAATATACCTTTAACTACCGGTGATTAAGACATTTTTTTAACTGCAAGAGCCGTTTTCATAATATTGTGAAGTGTTTTCTCATGCACTGCATACGTGCAGACAGAGGTAAAGCCGACGGCAGTAAATAGAAGGAGTCCTTTCCCCTCCTTGCCGTACGTTTGCTTTGAGTGCTCGGGAGGCAGGTGCCGCACTACACCCGACCCGCACTGGCCGTATGAACCGCAGGCACTGCCGTAGCCTACAAAGCGGCGCTTCCCCACGGCTGCGAGCAGAATGCGGTCCGCGCCGCTGGGGGTCTGCGCGGCACGCCGCCGTGCGCTATGAAATGACTGCCCGAAGCGCCCTGCGTCTCGGTCAGCCATGGATGATACTGCAACCAAACACATATTTGTTGGGATGCAGGCTACTAGATAGATATGCCCAGTGCCCGAAAAAAATCTGCCATATAATGCATCTAAATGCAGAGAATTCTGCGAATTAATCGAATATGCCAGTAAGTAAAATAAAACTGTGGATGTGGATATGCAGGAGGCACTGGGAAAAAAAGCATTAAGAAGACTTGTAAGAGTAGTTGTAAGAATGCAATGCTGGCTGTGGAGTTAATTTAGCAAATACTAACAGATAATTTGGAACCAGTTTGTTTAAAAAAAAGAGATTCTGATGGAAGCTCAGATTTTTGGCTTGACTGTTATATTATACCTTCCGTATCCTTGGGCAGGTTGTGCGGTTTGTTAAATGAGGAGCGCGGTCGCAGTACATGTCCACTGGGAAGTTTGGTGGCAAAGTTTAAACTGTCATAGTGTTGCTGTGCGGTCCCAAGCATCCTTATATGCAAAAGGCCCTGATTATCTGGTCTGTCATCCATTAGCTGTCAGGCAACATGCTACGCATGGGCATCAGTGGAGAGAGGGAAGGTCAGATGACTGCTTAGTTTGGGATGTTTTATTTTGCGTTATATTAGCTGTTTACAAGGATTAAGTAAATGAGCTGCAAACCATTTATTTATTTAAGGCTGTTTTCCAGGGGCCTTAACTGGTGGTTTGAATTGTCTGTGCCTCGTTTGGGGGGTGGGGGTGCTCAGAGGATGATAAGGACAGGTTTCAGAAACAAGGGGGGGGGTTATCATCTACAGGCTCTCACAGGTGACGGAGGTTGTGTAGAACATTAATGGGTTTTCACACAATCTGTAACAAGGCCTCACACCACCTCGGTGGTTAAAACATGAAAGCCATGCCTGCGATGCTGTCCAGTCCTGGTGTAAGCCTGGGAATATGAAAATGCATCGTCTCCGTCGGGGTAGGGAGCTGGGATGGAGACGTGCACCATTTCAGCCGGGGAGGCTTTTTGAAAAGCAGAGCGTACCCCAGCGGGAAGCCAGTCATGACAGAAATTTCCAGAAAGCTACGCTGGCTATCCGATGGTTATCGTTGAAGCCTAAACTCCCCCTCCCACCCCCCACTGCTGTTCCGGAAGCCAGTCCAGACGAGGTCCTCCTTTTTGTTAGCAACACACATTTTCTCGCTACATTTTGTTTACTCCACTTGACCACTGATGCTTTGCGATACCGTCTCCCCGGCGATACCATCGCTCCGGCGACAGCATCTCCCCTCTGACCCCCCCAGGGCTTGCGGAAGAAACCATTTTTCTTGGATAACGCGTCACTGCTATTCAGATGTATGACAGCATCCCTTATCACAGAAATGCAATGCTGCTACGTTTCGACTATAAACATCATTCATGGAAATAAAAATTGATTAAACGGTGGCATTTCAATGTAATTAGGCAAAGACATGTTGTTAGGGATATGTCTAGTTGGTGGAAATACATACGTGATCATCCCATCATTGCTTTGGCTGTGAAGGTTTTACGAGCAGAAATGCAGGGCCTCACTAGCGTCAAGCTAATGCTAACACGGTGAATATTACTGTTAGGGGTGAGGCCAGGGCCCTTGTGGGATCAACAAATTTGTATCGAGACAGCCCTGCCGCCGGTGACCCTGAGTCAACGAATCTAAGGGCAGGCACAGAGGCGCAACCCCTCGTTAGCATGCGGCGCGGGCTACGCCAGCTCTCCACCGCGATAATGAAATCCAAGTGCAGAATAATGGTTGGAGAGGTCTTATCTAAATTGTAAACATGACAGCGAGCCAGGGCCTGTGATCTCCGCTGCCCCACCCATTATCCTAACTCTCCATTATCGTCTGCTCCCCACTCCTGTCTTGCCGCTCTGGAGCGGACCCGTCCGAGCCCCAACCGGCGTGATTTATGTTAATGGTGTGTCTATAAAGTTAGGCGACGCCGTGAATCATATCGGATTACGGACCGGCAGCCGGACCATCTCCGGCCATCGACATCGACCAGATCCTCTGTGTCCCTTTTGCATCATCCTTCTCAGAGTGTCGTAGGTTGTTAGAGTTACATCTGCATGTTTTAAGTTTAATATTTTAAGTTTCAGTCGGAGAGCTTTTTGACCTCTCTCCTAGTCACGGATGTCTTGAATACCATTAAGGGTTGAAAAATGTGAATCCGGAAGCTTTCCACAGAAATACATTAAAAATCCATTTTTTTTTTTCTCCTTTTGCCATGACAACTCGCTCACATTGATTTTCTGTTTTATTGCTTTGGAGGAGAGAAGTAATGAAAACTAAAACAAGGCTGGGGGAGAGACGTACGTGGTACCCCTCAGAGTTCGGGGGGGGGACACTGGACAAGAGTTGACACATCGTTTTTTGGGGTGTTTAGGGAGCAGCAGTGTGTTTAGCGGATCGGCTTACTAAGAAGTGTGGGTATCCCTTTGGGGGCTGATTCGGGGGTGGCAGGGGTTGGGGGAGGGGCTTTTGCGTATGTTGGCTGCCTCATTCTTGCTTCATGGGGATCGGTGATGTCAGGAGCACACACACACACGCGCGCGCGCGCGGACGTCATATCTGGGTTTAACGTTTCCCACTCGCGCTCCGAATCCGAGGTCCAGCACCAGTTGGGCACACAGTTCACGTCATCTCAGCTCCAAGCAGATGGGATCTTACCAAGAGATAAAGCCTCACGCACGCCACAGGGACCTCGCAGGCCACCAGATGTCCCCGAAATAGCCGTAGCGGCAGGCCCAGAGGAGCCGTTTGGGATCCTCGGAGCTTCAGAGCCATCCGTCCACCGGTTATTATCTGGTTACTTTATGGCCAGCGGGCTGGAGGTTCAGAAGGTGGCGACCTCGGGGCTGGGGGGCGAGGCGGACAAGGACGCAGACGCCTGTGAAAGCGAGCCGCGTATTACAGTGGGGTCTCAGGCCAGAGGCGGCCGCCCGCGTATTACGGCGGGGTCTCAGGCCAGAGGCGGCCGGCCGCGTATTACGCCGGGGTCTCAGGCCAGAGGCGGCCGGCCGCGTATTACGGCGGGGTCTCAGGCCAGAGGAGGCCGGCCGCGTATTACAGCGGGGTCTCAGGTCAGAGGCGGCCGGCCGCGTATTACAGCGGGGTCTCAGCCCAGAGGCGGCCCATGCACATGCATACATTCTTACTTATTTTATCTTTTGTGTCTCAAACCCAGAAACTAATGAATGGACGCACATTATACAGAAACCCATTTTTATCCTAGGATGAGTTTTTTATCCTCTCATTAATGCCTCGCTGCATCTGTTAATATATATTTGGAAATCTGAGACAAACCAATGATGAAAAATATGAGTTTGCCCCAAAAAATGGGAGGTGGATTCACATAAAACTCAGTTTGCCTTGCATTTAGTTAGCACCACCAGTATGATAATGTTCAAACGGTGCTAAAATTACCTGGAAGTCATTTTTTCAAGGCTTCTGGTATCTGTGTGGTTTTCACTGACCTCCATTTTGGACTGAACGTGGTTTTCAAAACTGGATGTCCTTTAAATAAATAAACCTGCGTATTAATTTAATATAGGAAACATATGATAATGATTAACACCTGAAAAAAAATATAATTATAGAGCTCGACATTTTCCTTCTGTGTGCTTTATACTTTGGTACTGACTTACTTTTCCCGAAATAACCGCGATTCGAACTTGTTGAAAGCTCAAACACCGTACCTCCCACGTTGGAGCCGTTACCCTCAGCTACAGATATCATCCCTCAGCATTTGAGAATTAGAGAAGATGTCTGCAATTTAACAGGATAATTAAGGCTACAACACAATGTAGGTAACCACAGATTATTAATTACACTGCAGACCCAGGTTAGTCAATCCCATATGGGCAGTGTTTACCTCTGCAGTAATACTTTATAGGCTACCAACTTCAGTAAATTTAATCTACCGGTTTAACTATTATTATTTGTTCCCTTGTTGAGTAATAGTGACGACATAGAAAGCATTTCTCCAGAACTTTCTGGCTTATGTTCTTGTTGTCGGCTTTGCCAAGGAATATTCATTGCTGTGACGATTGGGTCCATCCATCCATCCATCCATCCATCCATCTATCCATCTATCATCCTCTTTCATGTTGAAGTTTTCAGAGCATTATGGTCTTTCCCAGAGTCCTGGGCCTTCCCGTAATATTCACGCACCAAAAACAGGCAGCTTCAGTCTGGTGCTGAAGCTCAGGATTGATTTAACCAAGAATCCGCTTGTTTATTGGCCTCGTGGTCCGTAGCGTTCTTAGAGTCCTAAAGTCTTTGCCAGCACTGAATTCCAGGCGTTCCTGTCAAGATTCTTCACCGTCCATCTCTCACAGCCATTAAGAAGATACTGAGTTCTGAACATTGCTTTTCAGGACAGGTCAGTACTTATGAAGATGTTTCTTCTAGACCCTTCCCCACAGTACTGCCGGCCTGCTGCATCCTTCCTGACATCTCGCGCCTTTGTTGTTGATTATTGCTCCAAAGAACCAAAAGCCACCTGTAGCCTCACTTAGGTCATAACCTTTATTTTCTTCACATTGGGCTCTAGTACCATTTTTCACACAGTTCTTTCACTTTCATTTTAAGATCTCCATTTTCCACAATAAGTGTGGTGACATCAGCATGCCCGGCATAGCTTAAGAGGACTGTTTTTGGGATAGATACATATTTAAATTACAGTTGACCTTTCTGCATTACGACTTTCCCCACCGCGGTTTTGATTTTTTTGTACCGTCGGCATAAGAAGTTAAATGGGAGATTTCGGTAGTTATGCGAAGGCCAGCAGATGACACACAAGAAGTTCAGTAACTCATAAGTGCATAAAATATACGTGGAGTGCTGGTTTGAAGAATGCCAAGCGGCCCCTCTCATGATATATCGCAGTGATCTCACAGTGATCTTTCTGTGTTGTGTTTCTTGCATCTTTTTGCTTTGCTCGCTACGGGGGCCAAAAGCCCAGGCCCTTAATTTACCTGACATGAAAGGGTCTATTGTATAATTATTATTATGATCAATGTTGTCCAAGACAATGAAACTTATAACCAGAAGTGGTTTGAATATGGATGGGTGGATGGATGGATGGATGGATGGATGGAGGCTGTCCAAGAAACAGAACACATTTTAGAATAATTATATACAAGGAAAATATGAGGGTTTTTAAGCTTTTTTTTTAAAAAAAAAAACATTAAAAGCTTGGATAACTCAGTTATAGATTAGTTACATGAATTTTCCCCAATATACTAATGAAGGTATATTATCCTACATTGTGATGGCCTACCGTAGGCTTTGAAGGTATATTATCCTACATTGTGATGGCCTACCGTAGGCTTT